TCCATTGATCTATGTGTCTGTTTTTGTGCCAGTACCATACTGTCTTGATGATGACAGCTTTGTAATAGAGCTTGAAGTCTGGAATTGTGATGCCACCAGCTTTGCTTTTCTTTTTCAACATTCCTCTGGCTATTTGGGGTCTTTTCTGGTTCCATATAAATTTTAGGATTATTTGTTCCATTCCTTTGAAAAACGTTGATGAAAAATTTTGATAGGGATTGCATTAAATGTGTGGATGGCTCTAGTCGACGGTATTTTTGTTACAGTAGCCCAAATGGACTAAGACATATGGCAAAGCCTGGGAGGTGGGCTAGAATAAATAGTGGACTCTGAGGAGAGAGCTTCCCAGAGAACCTGAATGAAGTCTGTGTGCTCCTTTCTTCACCACTGGGCACCTCTTCTCTGTTTTCCTTCTGTCTTTTCCACTAATCCAGGGTCCAGATCTAAATATCTCTGGATAGAATAAAGTAAGCTAACGTTTCTGAGCATTTACTATCTGCCCAGCCTTGTTCTAAGTGCCTGTCATTCTTTAACTGAAGCTACACAGCAACTCTAACAATAGGTATTAGTTTACCTCCCTTTCCCCACTCCATGAATGAACTATGCCCAAAGTAATGCAGCTTGTAAGTAGAGCCAGAGAAATAAAAGAAGTAATAGTTATGGATAGCTCATTAGGTGTCAGGGCTTTATATACAATATTTTATTTACTTCTCACCACAATTTTATGAAATACATACTTCTATTACTGCCATTTTACAAATGTACAAAATTGGACTTAAAATGGTTTGTAACTTTTCCATACCTACACAGCTAATAAGTGATAAGGCCAGCCTAGGGATGCAGAATTCCAAGTTCCTTCCACTTACCCTCCCCAGTCCTCTGTCTTCATCACACACAAGGTTCCAGGATCATAAAAAGGCTAACATTTATGGAACCCCTATACGTGTCAGGCATGCTTCTAAGTAGTTTACATATATTAATTCATTTGATCCTCTATGAGCTGGGTATAATTACTATTATTATTACTATTACTAATGTAATTTTGCATTTGAAGAAATTGAGGCAAAGAAAGGCTAACCGATTTTCTCAGACATGTGATGAAAAATGGCTACACTTGGGCTTCGACCCAGCAGCCTATCTCAAACTCCATGCTCTGAACAACTGCATCATTACGCCACTTCTCAACGTTCATATGACTAAATTTAAATAGCATTTATTTAGAAGTCATATTCATATTTCCACTAGAAGCTGACCAAAGCACTTTGGACCAAAGTCCAAAGCACTGTATCAGATTCCAGGTAAATTTTATATAAAAATAGTGTAACTTCCCCATTTCCTATATTTTCATGGTAAGGCTGGGGTTGGGGAGGCACTTCAAAATTTTAAAAATTTTAAAGGCCCAGACACTTGTTTGGAGACAGGAGAAGCTGGAATACTGACACCTTTCAGCTCCAGGAAACTTGGGAAGACATTGCTGCTTCAGCACCCCTCCTGGCTGTGGACCAGGAAGGGGTGGGCGGAGCGATGTGGCCAGCTGGAGAGGTGAGAGGCACTGAGCTGTGAAGAAACTGCTAGGTGGAGTTAATCCTCGTAGGAAGTTCTTTGGAATCCCACAACCTTGGAAGGGGAGCTCCCCAGTGCCCACCCCAAAGATGGGGCAGGCAGTGAGACATCTTCAGCTGACTTCCCTTTCAGGAAAAGGGAAGAGAGCTGGAAACTCTAGGCCCTTCCTTCCAATATGGAACCCTGGCTCTCCATCTTCTACCTGTGTCCTTTCATCTTTGGCCACACCTCACTTATGCCTTGCTCCCTGGCAGGAAAAGGCACCAGTCATTATATTTCTGCACTTTGTATTATTATTATTATTACTATTATTTTATTAATTAGCTGAATTGACGGAGCACTGAACCGAATCAAATCAGCAACTTTTTCCATTGGTATGCCCCCATCTCTAAGAGCTGCATACTTTTAAAGTATTACTCACTAATCCCCGGTAGAAACTGGGATGGAGGGAGAAGAATTCATCTCCATTTATTTATTTATTTAGTTAGTTAGTTAGTTATTTTCATCTCCATTTAGAAAAGGTATGTGCTGTGTACATTATTTCTAACTCTCAGCAGGTTTCACGTGATTGTGACTCACAGAAGAGATGAGGAAAATACGTTAATTAACAAGGTTGTAACTTCCGAGCTGTGCTCTTAGTGTGATTCATGCTGCATACAATTGGAGAGAAAAGGCTAAATGATAAGCAATACTTTACACTGCATAAAGAGCCAGCAGTGTTTTTGAGAAATTTTTAGCACCTTGGACTATAGGACACCATAAATAAGAGACTGAGGGGTAGGTAGGTAGGTTGGGGAGGTTTGATCCCAAAATCTGGTGCAATGCTCCACAATAAAAGGTTATTTATTTAGGAGTGGCAATAGTGGGAAAATAATACTGCTGGTTTGAAACAAAAAATTAGTGAATGATAATAAACAGAGATGCCAGTAGCAGGTCTTGAAAGTGGGATTAGAACTGTGTGGAACTGAGCTGTGCTCCGGGGCCAGGAACAGACTTGCGGGCTCCCACTGCACCTGACTCCTGCTGGCCCTGGGTGCTTTAGGGACAAGAACACCCCTCTGGACCCACCCTGGGAGATCTGCCAGGATTAGGGTTCTCAGGTCTGCAGTAGAGATTGGAATCCGTCCCGCCGGTATGCCAGCGGCGAATCCAAGTGGAGTCACGGGCCTTTCCCCTTTTCCTCTCCTGCCTTCGGAACCGCCTCTGCGGCGAACCCCGGCCTGAGAAATGCTCTTGGGCCCCGGGGTCCGCAGGTGGACCGCACCAGCAAGGAGGGCGCAGGTTCCTCGGTGAGCGGAGGGGCGCGCTGGCCTGGGTGCCTGCAATGTCATGCGGCTGCGCGCAGAGCGGAGAGGGCGCCCGGGGCCACCGGTGCTCCTGGACAGCAAGTCGGCAGGTGTGTAGATTGATGTGTGCATGGCCACCGTTGTGTTGCAATTGCTGTTTGCTGCCTTAAAAGCCCCTTTTAAAGATGTCGCCAGATTTTCTCCATTTGTTTCTTTTTTATTATTTGTTTTTAAAGCATGCATTACATATGCAAATTAATTTTGGCCATCCCTAGGATTGAGGGGAAATAATGGGAAGGGTATAATGTGTTTGAAGATGTGTGGTCCACAATATATACTGCTTACTTGTTTCCTGACACCTTGACTACAGTAACGATCTACACATTACATGAAAATGCACCATATTGAAAAATAAAAACACACAAGTTGCACAAAAATTCATACAAGTATGATTGCTGTACAAAAGGAGGCAAGAATGCTTTAGAAATGAGAGGTTATGTGATTGGAGCAGTTTGCAATGCAGAAATGTTTCTAAAATTTTCCCAGAATTCTTGCATTTGTTTAGAACCCAGACTGTCCACATTGTGTGTTTTCATGTGACCAGCCATGCTGGGGGCTTGAGAATCCTGTGATGAAGATCACTAAACTGACTGTTGGCTTCATAATAGACAACAGAAAATTAGGCATGAAGACATGACAGACTCTCCTGTCTTTCCATACTAAACCTCTTGAATGTGAAAACTTATTATCAATTTTAAGGGGAAACTTTTTTGTGGAGCTGAGCACCAAAATAACATTGATTTATGCCAAAATCACACCAATTCCATTAAAATGGACACAGTAGTTTCAAGCACTAATAAGAGTTATTAGAACACTAGGTAATTAGGCTTCACAAGTTGCTTTGTAACATGGGTGTTGTTTGGCCTCCTTCAGTTTCCCTGGCTCCTGTTAAGATTATGCTCATAAAAACACACATAGATGATACTCATTGTTTATATAATAGAACATTTCATATTTTAAAAAACATTAAAACTGAAAGGAATGTGAAGGAAGCAGGCCAGATTATTCAGAGAGGAAAACTGAAATCAATGGACACCAATGTCACAGCTGTGAAGATGACCCCTGAGGGCTCTCTTCCTGGTAGTGTCAGCAGAGAGGAAAGCCTACAAAACCTAAGCCACTCCTTGTAGAAGCAAAGACATACCTCAGAAATTGGAGCAGGGATTTAAATTAAAGTCCTCCTCAAGCTGAATTCTCTACATGTGGATAGGAATATCTGAAGAGTGTACAATCAAGTTCTAAATGTTATATTTTGGTGTAGGGGCTAGAGGAGTTTTAAAATGAGTCCGCTCTCCACTAAAAACCATCACTATCACTCTCACCTACCTCTTTCTTGATGCCTCAGAATTCCCTCTTGGAAACTGCAGAACAGAAAATTCCCTGGATCCACCCGTATCTAAAATTCTATCATGCTACAAGTGTGCACTGGAGTGGTGGAAGGCTATCACAGAAGCCTCCCCAGGTGGTTGAGGGACCAGGTGGCAAAGAGCAGCCAGGCTCTGAAAAAAAGAGAAGGGTATAAAGTTTGAGAAGGCCTGTTCTTCAGACATGGAACAGATCCAGCGTAAGTCACAAATAAGAGAAGTTTGAGAAAGATGATAAAGAAGCCATGCTTTCATCGTATCCATTCAACAAATTTATTAAGTACCTCCTCACCTTGCCATGTGCTTGGAACACACAGTAGGATACAAGCAGGTGGAGTCCCTGCTTTTACCTTTCTTACAGTGTAGTAAGATACAGGCAAGCAAATGTGAAGCAGATTCAACAAAGTAGATATTGCTGGGTGGTAAGGTCATGGATGCTGTTTATGATTTTATGATGAATTCTCTGTGTTTTGTAAGTTACAAACACATACAACAATAAAAATGTATTTTTTGTAATGAAAATAGTTTTTTAAAAAAGAAGAAAATATATTTTAAAAAGCTACTTCACATAAATATTAGATTTTATGTTTAGCAGGGTGGTATTATAAAATCCTTTGAGAGTTAACAGATGAGCTACCTGAAGCTCAGGTTAAGTAGCTTATTAAGATCACAGAACTATAGTGAAAAACTAGAAGAACACAGTGGCATGCACAGAAATACATCTTACCAAAGTTTTGTTTTTTGTTTTTCTTTTTTAAGCAGGAGAGCTAGGATTAAAGCCTAAATCCTCTAAATCTCCAAATCCCAGGTCCTTTCTACCACCTGACAGTGCCTACTAATAACTGCAATATGCAATCTGAAGGATCAAGGTAAGAACTGCAATATATTCAGTCATAAAAAATGAAATGGAAGAAACCTATGTAAGAAAAATATCCTCATAAATTTGAGTCTTATTGTCTTCCTTTCACTCTCTTCTATCCTTCTTCCTTTTAATTTTTTTTCCCTATTTATATTAAAGACATATTCTTAAATAGTATTTGGGAAAGAAATAAAGGGAAAAAATTATATATTCCCACTATACTAAAATGACTACTGCTGATAATGTGGAATGATTCCTTTTAAATTTTTTTCCTAGAGTTAGGCTTTAAAAAAATATTATAATTATACTGATACCTAATTATAAACCTTTGGTGGATTTCTGCTGTAATTACCCAAAATTAATATTAAAAATTTAGCCAACAATAAGGGAACATCCCCGAACTAAAAGAGTAATAAATACATCAGATAAACAATCTTAGATCAACATTTCCTTAAGTGTATGCCATAAAACACTAGACACATGAAATGTTCATTAAGAAAAAGGTTTAGTGGTAAATGAAGTTTAGGGAACATTTCAGAGTCTCATCCCATTTTGGAGATTCACCACGCACTTTGCAAAAATCTGAGAGAAGCAGTGTTTAAGAAAGGAAAAAGTTCTTTAAATTTTATTTAACTCAACATTTCCTAAGTTTATTTGTACATAAAAATTTAAAAATATATATTTTACACTTATTAATGTCTTTTGGAATAGGAACAAACTTTGGGATACACTGCATTGACTTCTCTAGTTAATTCCAGTGCTAGATTTTAAAGGACAACATTATTAGACCTGGTTACCTTGCCATGCAGTCGCCACTAGGAAAAGACACTGGAAGACAAGGAGCTTCCAAGCTCAGAGAGGCCAGAAGTGAGAGGGCAAGTGGGGACAGCCAGGAACTCTGCACTTGGAAACTACACCTGGAAATGAAGCATTCAGAACTCCATCCCCCAATATCTTTGAAGTGTTGGTTTAACATAACATTTCAAAATTCTAAATTTTCCCTGTCAGAGATGTCAGCCAATGGAAGAAGCCTGGAGAAATCACTAGCAGAAGGTGAACCACTGACATTATTTGCTGATTCTTCCTTTCTTCTTGACATTTCCTTGACAACTTAAAAGCATTCTTATTTTGTTTCTTCCTGTTCCTATCTCTACATTCAAGTAGATCCTACAAGGAGAATATCTCTTATGTCTTTTCTTTCCTCTCTACTCTTACCGTCTCATTATTCACTTAATAATTCTCTTTTGGGCACGTATTCCATTCTTAGTAGACATTTACAAGAAACATGGTATCTGCCCTGAAGAAGCCCACACCTAATGCAGGAGACTCATTCAGGCTTTATCATCTCTCACCAGTATCACTGTATTAGGTCTTTCCTGCCTTCAGGCCAGTACACCCTCTAAAATTCCCATGCTTACCCATTCAAAACCCAAATCTGATCATGTCACCTTCTGTCCTAAAGTCAAATAATAGCTGCCTAATGTTATCTATGTACATTTAGGTCGAATTACATGAAAATGTCAATATTCCTATAAAGATGACAATCTCATGGGGTTCAACACAATAAAATGAAATTTCCATTTTTCCCCTTGTTGGCTACCACATTATATGAAAATCCTGAGAAGGATCTTTTCCAAATCTGAAAGGCACGTTAGTATCACCAGACTTAAAATACAGTCTATGAGACATGCATAAAATCTGCTTTATGAGCCCCAAATCAAAAGCCATAGGGCACACTCTCCAATTACTGGCAGTGATTTAAAATCTAGATGCTTCTCACATGGGCAACTCTGGTTTGCTCTAGGTAAATAGCAGCATCAACTCCTGCTACATGTACCTTTAACCCAATAAATTTCCTGTATGTTCCAGCTTTTTCCTTCATGTTCTACTTCCTCTTTGGATTATTGTGAGAATTAAACATAAAAGAAATAATCTATGTAAAGTAGGTGACAAATTACATTTGCTATTAGCAATAGACCTGACAAATTCTCACTTTTGCAAAAAACCTTCATTTACAACCCTATTGGAAGTAATCTCTCCCTCTGCACTGTTCTCCTAGCATTTCCTTTGTATCTCTAATAAAGTACATATCAGGGTCTATCTTGAGTTAGAATTATTTATGCATGTGTCTATTTTCTACCATGGATTATGGAACCCTTCTGAGCAGGGATCATATTTTATTCATGTGTCTCACCTACATTGGGTAGGGGGCCTTGCACTGTGAAAGCAATTTGCCACGCATAAAGCCCTATCAACTTGATAATGATTTGCATCAAGCATATGCTGAATTGTATTGAATTCTTTGTTAGTGAGGGTCAATACCACTCTTCTCTGGGAACAATGTTCATGAAGTTAGAAGTTAGGAAATTCTTCTTTCAATGAGAAGGCTTGCCTGGATGGCAGAAATGTGGAGCCCGGATGCAGCTTCTTATTGTTCTCCCTAGAACAATTCCACTTTCCTAAATTATCTTTTTGCCTTAGTCATAGTGTAAGCAAATACAAGTCATCTTGCCTAATGAGACATCCATTTCCTCTTTTACGGATTCTTAGACAAAGGCATGAATGCATAAGACTCCCAATTATCTAAGTAACTGGGGCAGTGAAGAGTTAAGGAAGTATTCCAGGAAATTCATGGTCTAGGACTTCTTTTTCAGTGTTTTGAGAACACAAAGCTTTTGAGAAGAGCAAACCATGGAGGGCTATTCCTGTGAATGACTTCCACTCTCTTTCCAAGACTTCCATTCACACTTAAGGAGAATGAAATCCAGAGAAGTGAAGAAACATGCTCAAAAGTCATATGACGAAAGGAAATATTTCTGTTCTGCCAACCTCTATGGAAAGCAAGGGGACAGTTTGAGATAGTTCCAGAATCTTCTAATTTTACATATCATACCTTTCTAATCCTACGGGTTATCTTACCCTTGCTGTCAAAAAATTGACAGAGGAGAATCCAGGATAGACAGGAGAGTAAAATTGTAGCTTTAAATGCTGTTCTATGAAATGCTGCTCCTGGTGGTTTCCAGGAAGCCAGGAAGGCATTAAAACTTAAGAGACTGCCATGGAGAAGGTCACCTTGAAACTCAAGTTTTGAGAACAACATATGCTCTTCTAGCCCTTGGAGGAGATCATCTTTTTTGTTCCATGGAACTTGCAGCTAATCAGACCAACTTCAAGATGCTAGGCAACCTTGACTCAACTGACATGGAGCCAGAGAAGCCACGGACATGAAAACATTCATTTTATCTCCTTCCTCTTCATTATACTATTTGCTCACCATGTCAGCTGTGCCTGAATCAAACTTCTTTAATGGTTTAATCAAACCTCACTTCCCCATTTAATTACCTCCCTATCACAATCTTCTGCCCTTTCTTCTGCTTTCCATGGTCAGCCTTACTATCCTTCCCTGCATAAATCTAGCCATATCCAGACAATTTCAACCATACCCCTTACCTGTTCCAAAATATAGAAAGAAAGAAAAACTCCTTGACCTCCTAAATCACAGATGGCAGAAAATCACATGTGTTAAAATTAACTAAGTACAAATTAACTTTATCAGAGGCAGTAGAATGTTGTGATTAAGAGGGAAAACTGAAGCCAGACTGTCATACAAATCCTGGTTCTACTACTCATCACTTAACCTCTGTGTACCTCAGTTTACCCAGTGTTAAAGTGAGAATGGTATTGATACCAACTGCATTAGTTAGGATAGTGAAAAAATAACAGCCACCTAAATGAAATAGAAGTTTACTTCTCTCTGATGGAGTGTAGGGCTGATGAGAAGGCTGTGAGATTTGGGATTAGGCTCCTCTGTTGTATTCTGCTCTTCTTAAAATGTGGCTTCCATCTCATGGACCATGATGGCTACTCCAGCTCCCACCTGGCTAGATGTCCACACTGTAGCCAGCAGGAGAGCAGTAAGAGAAAAAGGAGTAGGCCCTCATTTCCATTAAAAGTATGATCCAGAATTTCCCCCAAGTCACTTCCACTCACAGCCCATCAACCAGAACCTACTCAGTGGCCACATCTAGTATCAAGAGATGCCATATGCCTTTTGTTGAAACTTCTATTACTATATCAAAACAGGAGAATAAAAACTGGTGAGAAACCCAGTAATCTCTGCCACACCAATGCTGTAGAGTTGTGTAGATTAAATGAATTACACATGTAAAGCACTTAAAACAGTTCCTAGAACATAGAAAATCCTTGATGATTGTTAGCTGTTAAAATAATACTATTAGTCCATTATTATGCCTGTTTCTTCTCCCTGCTTTTGTAC